TGACTGGGTAGGGTGACCCACCTATCATCCCTCACAGCACTTTGTTTCCATGATTTCACCAAATCAATAAAATCTAATGGTAATGATAGCAACTAAACCGACAGCCTAATTCTGAGCTCATATAACACAGTGAGATTTTAATCTTCAGAGCTGCACTGTACTCAGGATGCTTCAGTTTGATAATGTTAACAGCTGCCTACCTACTCCATTTCACTTGAACACTTTGCCTTCATCCATAATTTTTTCAGTGCCTGTCAAAACTGCCAGCATGGAACCAGTGGGAAAAACAGGTCCTAAGATCTCCAGGAATAAAGTCCAGCACAAACCAGTGTGAATTTACAAAAACAACAGGCTTAAAATTTAGACTCTGGGAAAAGAGACAAGGAACATCATTTTTTTCAGCCAAGATATACAGGGTTTTCTTCCAGTCCCACTGTTTTCAAATCCTCTTATATAACACAGGCAGGACTGAAGATATGCCTTCATTACTGGACAGGAAGGAACCAAAATAGAGTAATTTAAATAAAGGAACATTGACCTAATTGGGCAAGGTTGCAGACAGTGAGCTGATATTGGTTAAAATCCTGAAGTTACACCTGCTCTTCAGTGTTCATCCGTAATTCCTATTAGCATAAATATGCTACTAAATCTCCCACAGTAAGCAGCTAGGGTAAGTGACTTCTGTAGGCTTAAAAGCCAACAGTAATAAAGTATTATTTGGTTTTCCATTAAAAAAAAATAACAACAGAGGCTTATATGTGATGTGCATACACACGTTTGGTTCCAGCGGAGTGTTATTCATGAGCGCCCAAAGCTATTTCCTACCTGAAATCTGTGTCACTGTAAATCAGTTACATAGCTATTGCCTTCCTATCGTGATTCTTACCGCCTCCAAGTTACACAAATTTTCTATGTACAGCCCTGGGTCTGCACAAAAGTTCTGGGCCCACCTTTATGCCATTTCTCCTTGATGACTTAAGTTAACCGTTAAGTTAGGAACTTAAGTTAGGATCGGGAAAAATTACCCAAGTCACTGAATCCAGTCCTCTACAAGCCCAGAAAAAAACATGGTATTTCAACATGCTACAGGTTATCTGTTCACCCTGTATACCGTCGCTCAGGGTGGGGGGACAATGATGGGGATGACTGAAAAACCCTAAAAACTTAAAAAAAAAAAAAAAATAAAACCACTCCAAAAATTAAAAAAAAAAAAAAAAAGAAGTGTAAAAGCCATTAGCATGTAATGGGAAGTGAGCAAAAGAGGTAAGGCATTGCCGGTGTCCTAAGTCTGTACAATAGCTTGCAGCATATTAAATATTTATGGTCCAAAGAATTAGGGATACTGATATAGATAATATTATCCTTAAATCCAAGCAGCTACTGCAGACTTGCTAAATGTGAGATGTCCTACTAGGCATTACAGAAGGTGTCAGTGAAGTTACACACTGTACATATGCACAGCAGTAAAACACTTCAAAATAACATATAATCCAAAACAAAACTCTAATCTTTGTATAAGCCTGTTTCCATACGTAATCTTTCTAAGTGCCCTTTATAGAATTTAGGCAAAACTTGAATTACTTTCTAGGTTTTTTTAATTGGAAAGCAACACGTACTGAGGATCCTAATAAAGCATTTCATACTGCATTTCACATCTTACTGGAAACATCAATTCAAAATGGCTTGCAGCAGAGAGAGACACGGGTTGGAATTTGGGTTTAAAAGATCATAAATTGGAGATAATGTTGTATCCACATCGTGTAAAACTTGCCTTTTATCCATCTCTATTAAATTTATTTACCATTACCATAGGAACCTGAGGTGAAAGCACCACTGCATTGGAGAAATGTCTGGTGAAAGCTCTGAGGAAAACTCAGCTACAGCTTGTGGACTCTATACGAAGTTGGTACAATGCTGACTTTGGCAATGGGAGAAAAATCTCGAGGAGATGGAGCTACCATAGCCTTTCAGAGGCCATTAATAAGAAAGAAATGCAGAGTTAATCCACCAACCCTAAAGCCTGTTGTAGAAGTAAGAAGAGATGCAGCCACACCTTTAAAGGTGTCTACCCATCCGAGGTGTGAAACAGCATGGGCTGGCAGCAGCAACCCAGAGCAGAGAAGCCAGCCCCACTGCTACTTCTCCTAAACCAGCCAAGTCCTCGCCGGATCCCAAGACTTGAGCCTCTCACAGTAAGCCTGTGCATCCACTGAGCTCTGGAGACAAGGCCAGAGCAGTATTAGCTGTAAGTTCTACCTTGTGCTACACTCACCCGGGGATACAGTCCTTCTCTCTCTTTATTCAGCTGACTGCGCTATGGAGGCAGAGTTGGACGTGGACATAATTAAATAAGTTTGTGGTATGACTAGAGACGTTTGGCACACTCTGAATAACCCGTGTTTCAGTAACTTACTGAGCTTGATTACCTTGGAGGTTCTGACAGGAAAAATAATGTTTTCCTAAAGGTTGAAACAAATTCTACTAAAAACAACAGCAACCCAGGACTAAAGTCAAGATGCCGTTTCTATATTGCTATTGATTAAGCTCACAGAAGGACTTCTGCTCCACTGAAATGTAATACCTACCCCTTGGTACCTCTCTCTCATGCACTTTGGCCTTTACATCCCATGAGCCCTTTAATCTCACTCTAAAGAGCCCACTGGTCCAGGCTGCTTCTCAGCCATCCATAGAAAACTGTAGTCCTCAGAAGAAATGATTTCCCTCTCCTCCTCCATCAACTGATTTCCAAAGCTGAGCCAAAATAATCACACTACAAGCATACTTATAGGGTGCACAGCCACCTGAAATATGTGGGGTTCGCTACGTTTCCAAGCTACACTTGTCATTCACGCTGCTTAACTGCAGGCATACAGCAGAATGTTATGGCAATAAAAAAGGATTTTCAGTAATGTTGTTGAAAAATAAGATAAAATAGAAATTTAAGAAGAGTTTGGTAAATCCTGAAACAGGAAAAACTGAATGTGTCATTTCAGCATCATGTATTTTCTTCAGTTCTTGATTCTGCCTCAGTTTTGAAAGCAGATCCCTCCCTCCAACTTCTTCATGCTCTTTAAATCAAGGGCCCCACTGGACTAATGTAATCCATATGCTTACTATTGCTTACATGCTATTTGTAGGGGTCAGCTCGGCTGAATTATGACCCCATCACACATATTTCCCTACTGTGTGTTACCTTTATCACAGAAAGGCAAGCTTGGAGATAAAAGAAACAGAATGTGACAAGCGTGAAGTTTATTATGTTTTCAAGAACTGTTTTTTTGTACATCGGAACAAGAATATTTTGATGAGGTATTTGATTAAATAACTTAAATAATCATCAGAAATAAGTAAATGTAAGTGATGCATGTAAGCAAAGCGTTAGCTATACATGCATTATTGATAGACACAGAAGCCACTCGTCCCCGCCCCAGAAAATAGGGTTTTGTATTGCAGAGGATTGGATCAAGAATTTCACATGAGAATCTTCTTGGTTTATATCAGAAAGGTGCTGTATTCTGCACAGCTCAGTGTAGGATGAGCAGTTGGTTCACTATTTGCGATGCGGTAAGGAAGCTACTGGATGTGCATAAATGAATAAACATCTCTCCTCCCTACCTAAGGAGGAAAGGCTAAGGAAAGGCACACCTATCACAGGACAAGAAAATGAACAATTAGCTGAGCCTTGCATGAAAACAATGGGCTTTTTCCCCTAAGAACAGGATTTGTTCTATTTACTGCTTCTCCCGATGGCAGCGAGAGGCCTTGCGGTGCACGGAGCTGGCGCGCTGTGGCACATCCGAGCAGTGGCAGGGGGGGTGGCGCGGGCTGCAGCAGCAGCCGCTGCAGGCACAAGGCAGGGAGCCGTGCCGCAGGACCGAGGGAAGCCGCAGGGAAACACTGCTCTCTGGGGAGCGTTAGGCAAAGCAGGAACGTGATGTGTGCGCTAAGGAGCGCGTGGTGTTGGCAGTACGGCTAATGCCACAGTGGCTCGGGGGAAACACGCAAGCTCAAACCAGAACGTGCTTACAGTCCTCAAGGTAGAAACTAGCTGCACTCAGCTGCCAAAAAAGGCTGGGGAGAAGAAGAGAGCAATGAGCTGCTGGTGGAGCTGGGGGTGGCAACAAGCCTTTTGTCGCTTCTATCATAAGCACTGTGCAGCAGGAGGTGTTCAACAGCACACTCTTAAGAGTAGATCCAAAACCCAAGTGAGGACTCTTTCTGGCCCAAGGAAGGTGTCTCATGAAGTTCTTACAAGTAATGGGCTGTTAGCTCCCCTATGGACTTGTTTTCTATGATACACTTCACCTAAAGGAGTAACATACAAAGCATGCTGCTGCCTAAGACTTAACAAAGCCAACAACATAAAAAGAACAAGACGCTGACCGTCCATCTTTTCCTAAAACATGAAGAAGCATCTGGATGCAGATACGCATGATTCAGTCCGTTTGCATTGTGCTGTGGTTGTGTGATGCTCTAAAAACAAACAAACAAAAATCCATCCAAAAAGCAAAACAAAAACGCACCACTAATGGTTTGAAACTTAACAACATAACTGACATGGCATTCGCTTCCTTTCAGCATTATTTTTTAAACCCACGGGTGAAATACACTCTTACATGCCGTGGCTCCCTTAGCAGATGCCCTCTGAGCATCTGGAGCTTGAGAAGCAAATAACAGGTATCAAGCCCATGCCTTTCAGGCATGAAACTCTTATTATTAGTAGACTAGACTTACTAGCCTTTAATTTACAGTTTTTTCTAGTGGATGCATGTCAGCTCCGCTACAAAGAGATTTAATTAGTCTGTAATTTGACATTGCAACACACCAGCTAGACAGACCAATGAAGACAGACATGTAGGGAACTGCAGAGCAAACTGCAGATTTGAATTAACTTGGAGGCAGGAACAACTACCACGTCCAAGCCAACTTTTGCTAACCACTGCAATACTAACATAAGTAAGCGAATAGTACTCAGCAAAGTGCTAAACCTTTGTCCATACCTGAGGTACAGAAGGTCGAGGGGGTAGTGCAGGCGGTGGTGGGGGCAGCCAGCCAGACCTCACAGCTGAACAGTCAGAAAAGAAGAAGAAGAAAAAAGACAAATAAAACCACATTAATTTAATTCCAAATAAAACCAGAAATAATTTCCATGATAATTCCTAGTGAAGAGGCAATATTCAACATTTTAATAACAGAAACCAAACTTGATCTTTATTGAGCAAAACCCTGTTTGAAATAACTTTATGAGAAGTGAATGACTAGTGATTTAATTGCTGTAAAAACCCACAAAGTTATGATAAAAAGCAGACAGGGAAGCCAGGCAGCCACGAAAGCTGTAGCTAAAGCAATCCAATTCTAGTTAAAGAACCCCAGAAACAAGGTCTACTTGTCCTTGGGACTTTGCTTTTTGTCATTAACATTATTGCCTTTTTTAAAAGTGATGCTTTAGCATCCAATGTAGACGTCAGCGTTCACTCCAGATAAAACATGCTATGTGAGTACAGCCTTAAAAAGAAAACATCTGGCATGGAATTAATAGGACAAAAGCCTGAATGAACCAAAACCAAATGCCTTTGGCTGTATGTTTTGTAGTTGCATGTTATTACTCACTAGAGGTATTTCGGAGGGAGGAGGAGAAATAAGGGGAGGAAGACAAACCCTAACGGTCAGTTCAGGCCCCTTTAACACAACGCAATGCCAGCTTTTAGTTTGAGCCAGCACAAAGGGAGGGTAACAACCATGTAGTTCCAGCCATTGTATTTCTCACTTTCCTTAAAATACCTAAAAGCCATTATGGGACAAAACTACAGGACAGATGACGTCTTCCAAGGGCAGCTGCAGAGAGAAGGACTAGGCTGGCACAGAGGTGGCACCACCCAGGACTGGTGGGAGTCCTTTAGGTGGGCTACCCTCCCTGAGCTCCTGTCACATTGAGTGCTCAGCACTTGCACTGGCAAACATACCAGGCAGTACATCTAGCAGTGGTGTTTATTTGTACAGCAAAAACCCCCACCCCAACATTAAACTTAGAAATGCCTTGTACCACAATAACGCTAAGCAAGCAATTACATTTACATACTTTTTATTTCCACGCATATTTTAAAAAGCCTCAAAGACCATTAAGAGCCTTGTTACAGCTTAGTGACTTACGTGTTTTATACACCAAGTCTAAAAATGTCTACGTGGTTGAAACTACAAAGACAAAAGATATTAACCATTAAGGACAACAGTGACATGAGAGTAAAAACGTGTGGGTGAAAACACTGGGAACAGTCATATTGACCATATACAGCTCCAAAGAGGCTTATAATACATTGGGGTTTTTTACATCTTCTGTATAATCATCTCGTGCATGAAAATGAAGCCTCGTATCACTGCACACAGTGCCAAGGAGAGAGGTAGAACAATTAAAACACAACTTAGGTTAGGCAAGGGACCCACTAACATACCTACAGGTATAAGAGAGATTTGAAAAAACATGGTCATTAGGATCTTTCCTCTTGCATTTAATTAGTTTGTAAGACCGCTGCAATACCAGCATGACATTGTCACTACATTCTCCATGTCCTCTGTGCAACTGATCTTTAGAGAGGAATGGTGGAGTAAGAAGCCTTCCTTTCCTTTAGTCTGAACTTCAGATTATTACTTCGTTTATCTGAGCACTGGCAGCGGCTTTGGCAATTACAGCTAATAACATTTGAAAACACCGCCTAACTCAAACAGCAGCGCTCTGTAGGTCCCTCAGCTGCACACCGCAATAGCGGGCAAGTACGTACGCTCAACCTGACATGTACGCTCAACCTGATACGTTTATCTTCAGGACACCTTGTGGGAGATGGGCTGCGACGCTCCACGGAAAACACCTGTGTGCACCTTACCCTTACACCCGCCACCACCAGCGAGCACCACTGCGTGGGCATCGCCTCTGCTCTCCAAACAGCTCTCACGCCACGGGGGAGCACGAATCGCGCACGGGCCCCTGGCAGCCCAAAGGCGCAGCTATGGAGCGCACTGCAGCCACGAGCACGGGGTCCCTGGGAAGGGGCACGTGGGGATGGGGTCGGCGGTGCTGCAAGAAGCAGTGGCTCCCTCGACCCTTCCGAAGGTACATAGCCCCCTCCAGGGCTCATCATTTTTGTACCTGCTGGCTTCCAGCAGGCCCTCAGAAACTCTACTGCAAGAGCTGCATCCATTGCGACCTGGCCTCGACTTCAGCTCTAGAGGACACAGTACTTACTGTTCTTGCTCCCCGATTCTTCAAACTCAGTGATACACCCAGAAAAGCAGCAGGATAGTCTTTATGCAGGAAATTGCTAGGCTTGCTTGAAAAGCATCTCCTGAAGTGGCTGCAAAGCCCCACAAGAATCCTGGGATTTGGCCCATAAAATTCCACAGGGAAAAGTAGTTTTTCCATATGATGGTCAAATTAAAAAAAAACACCAAAAAACCCCACCCCGAAAACCTGTTTCTTCAGCTTTCAAAATACAACTTAGATGAATTCAACATTAAAGAAGTGAGATGCTTACACCATGTACATTTGACCCACTTTCCTCTTTTTAATCCTGCAAATTCTAACTTAAGCTACTCATGAAATATTCATAAAATTCCTGC